GATTCAGTGGGGAGGAGGCCAGCTGGATGGGACAGCCATTTCCTCCCTTCCCCCAGTGACACGGGGCTGGGGTGAGGGCTGCTGAACCGGAGGCAGTTGTGGAGTCCAGGCCTGAGAACACGAATTCCTGGGATCTCCAGCCTGACCCCTGGTGTGGCCTGGGGCAGATCCCTCCGCCTGGCTGGGCCTCAGGTTTTCCACTTGTAAAACGAGAGGGGTGGAGCCAGACATCTGTGGACTGGGGTGATGCCATCAGTGGGCAGAGGAGGCGGGAGGAAGGGGTATGGAAGGGTGATGGGCTGGAATGATATCGCCTGATGCTGTGGTGGGTGGACTTCGGCCCAGAGAGGGTGTCAAGTTGATGGAGGCTTTGCAGCAGGAGAGATGGAGGAAGGGGAAGGCTGGGCCTCTGCTGAGCCGTTGCCACTGGGGTCAGTGTTCCGGGACTCAGCGTGCGGGACTTCACAGGGCCCCGTCCTGAGCACTGCGGGGGAGCCCCAGGGAGGCGCCGCTGAACTCCAAGTCAGCAGCCCTGGAGCGGGCCTCTCTCTGCCACTGCCTCTCTGTGTGTCCTCAGGCCATTCGCTGACTCTCTGTGGCCTCAGTTTCCCTACCATTATAGCATAAGGGGGAAAACAGTTTCTCCAGCTGAGGCTTCTGGAGTGAACTGGGCTGGGGGTGACAGGAGAGCACACAAGCCCAGCATGTCCAAGTTAACAGCCCAGCTGGGGCGGTGGCCGCTGGGGCAGCTGAGGGGTCCACCAAGAGAGATCAGGACAGGAGCCGCAGGCTGGGTGCCTTGGATGCCAGGTGGCAGGCTGTTACCTGAAGGAGCTGACTCAAGGAGGGGGCAGCCAGAGCCAGCAGCATCCTAAGGTTTCCAAGAAGGGCAGCCGTCCAGGGCTGAGAGAGACATTGTTGACAGGGAGGGCCAGGGAACCTGAGCTACTGGGCAGCTGGGTAGTTCTCCCCACTCCCCACCCCACCGAGGGCCACCAGTCAGTCCCTGCCCACCTGCCCACACACCTTAAGTTGGAGTTTCAAGATCCCTCCACAAGGGACCACCAACACCATCAACACAACAGAGGGAGAAAGAAGCCCAGAGATGGGAATAGCCACAGCCCAAGGTCCCACAGGGACTTAGTGCAGCGCCAGATCTAGAACCCAGGCATCCAGCTCCCTGTTCAGTGCTCCACGCGCTCTAGAGGCAGCTGGTTGCCGCCAGGATCCTTGGGAGGCCGTGGGAAAGAATGCAACTGGTTTCTGCTGCTTACAGATTAGGAAGTGTCACATTTCCCCGGATGACGGATGACATTCAGGGCATCAGACCCGCTTAGTTTTCATGTCTGGAAAGTGTGGTCTGCAGGTGCCATCCTCTCCCCAAACCTGGGCTTTTGGTCTCCAAGAGGGGGAGGGTCGAAGACATGCCAAGGAGCCTCTCCTGTCCTGCCCTCCTCCGAGTTGTGCGGGGGCAGGAGGAGTCTGGACCGCACTCTACGGGCTATACTCCTGGCTCAGGAGCCCAGGAAAGCAAGTAGTTATGGAGATCTGAGAAGGGCTCTTTGAAAAGTGAGACTAGAAAAAAAAAAAAAAAAA